ATTTATATGTACTAGCACTGTAGAAGTACTTCCACATTAGCGCTTTCAGTGTTCTGTTAAATCTTTCCACAACTGCGGCCTTTTTGTCTGAGTAAGTAGAGAAAAACTCGATGTTATGTTTATTAAGCAATGACTTTACTTCTTTGTTGTAAAACTCTGTGCCTTGATCAAACTGGGCGAATTTTGGGTATTTACCAAAATGATTATTAAATTGCTCTAGAATGTTACTGACTGCGTCCTTCATTGATGCCGCGTTTTTCCTATACACTGGTACTGTGAATGCGTACCTTGTTCTTATCGGCGTATTTTGTCATGTCAACTAAATCCATTTGTAACTGTTCACCTAAAGTTTGGACGTACGTCTGTCTGAACTTATGTTTCCTAAATACTTGTCTGTACCTAGTGTATGTGTCTTGCTCGTTTATCCATTTCTTAACCTGGTTTCTGGTTACTTTTCTTGACCTGGTTTCTGGTTACTTTAAGTCCTTCTGATATTGCTCTCAGATATAGTTTCTCTGGTGTTTGAAATCCAGTTTTAGGATTGTAGTAAATATCTCGTAGTCCCTGTTCTTTCATAATATCATCGTTCATCTTATATTAACCAATGTAAGCTAACTACCGACTACGTCAGTAGACGCTACGCTGCGTAGCTAGTACTCAAGGTACATCTCAAGTAGAACTTCACCTATATCAATAGGTTTCCCGTCTTGATCTGTCGTGTAGAATACAAGTTCTGAGAACGAACCCTTAATAACTGAAATCCTACTTTCAACATCAATGTAACTAACTACTGAGCCTAATAATGGTCTGTCAGTTGGAACTGTAACACTTGTTATTACATCGCTGGGTCTTCCCCAAGGGTTAACGTTAAAACTGTTACTTACTAGGTTGCAGTGTATATTTACGTATCGTAGACCATTATTAAAGTCAACTTTGCTGTCACTTATCAAACTCCCCCCTTTTAGTAGAATCATAGGATTATTAAATCTATTAAAGCCAAGTATTGTTAAAAACCTGGTTTCTATTGTAATGTCCTGCTTTACAGCTTCTATCTGACATCCTGCTGTTTCTGGAAAATATGTTAGTTTAACACCGTGTCTCTCAAGTAATTTTCTCATATTATCAAATGTATAGTAGCCCTTGCTGACAATCACGTCAGTTTCACCACCAGCTGTTTTAACCTTGAGAATAGTTGTTGGTTCTCTTATATTGAAATATTCCCAGAAAACTGAAACTCTCTTCACAAAGACTGAATTATAGTTGCTTGTTAAAACTGAATTCTGTAGTGATATAATAGTGTGCGAGCTCTGGAGTAAAATTGTGAACTTCATCTTAATAACATACGTTAGGTTATTAAGAATGAGACTAGGTGGAGGAGACGTTGGGAAGTCACCGTATAGGTCTTACCAAGACTACGAAAAAAAGTATGGAAAGGAAGATGAAAATAATGTTGATCCTATTGCTGGTAAAAAAGCTGAGAATGCTGAGAGGGCTAGGTTTGTTAGAAGGTACCCTCACGCTGACATGAAGAGGTTTAAGTTTGAAGCCATGACTACAAGTAGTGGTGACATAGGAGTTGTCACTTGGTTTGTCGATTTAGACGGTATATCTTCATATGACATTAGATATGACGGTTTTAAGAAGGATAAGGAGTTTACATATTATCTCACAGGTACTAAGAAAATTATTACTCCTGCTCAGTTCATACCTATGACTGATATGAAACAACCTCCACCGAAGGTAGCCAAAAAGTTACCAAATACAACTGCAACCAAGTTAACAATATCCTCTCCCGTAAAACCAAAAGGATGGCCGCAACTCTGGGATAGTAAAGGTGCTGTTCAGGAGTACGAACCTCTCGTATTACCAAGGGATCCTACCTACGATCAGAGAAAGTTGGGCTTCAGTCGAGTTTTAATTAATGATGATGGTTATTACATTAACACGTATAGACCTCCTGTAAGTCTTCCATATAACTTTAACAACTTTAGAATTTATGTAAATGAAAATAGTTATTTTATGTCCGGCTTCCCCAGTGCCGGTGTAGGTTGGGATAAAGGTCCTAATTTAGCTAATAAGGACGTAAGAAAAGTTCCCTTCAATACTATACCATACACTAGAATGCTGTCTGGTGCTTATATAGCTAGCTATCTTAGTGGATTATCCTTAGAACATATTCATGAAAGCGATTCCATCCCAAAGATAATAACCTCTATTATGAGATACCATCTTTACTACACAATTAGAAAGTTAACGGTTAGTAAAGATGCTATTGATAAGCTTAATGTTAACCTCAATATTGTGAGGAACCATATTCCTATAAAGCAGGAATATATTATTGATGGAAGTGGTTGTACAACTAGTGCGGGACCTCTATCTGATAACGACTTCCTTTCATTCATAGCTGAAAAAAGTAATGGCTTTACTAAGTTAGGCGTTGAGCTCATCCAGGAAAGTATTGAGTCGTATGTGTACGCTATATTAGGATCCCAAGCTAACACAAGGTGGTCAATAGAAGGAAACGGTCCAAAGGCTCTTCAAACGCAACGTAACTTTAGATCTGTTGTAAATGCTACTATTTTACAAAGTGATAAAGTAACAGCAATTAGTAATATGAGGAAAGCTGTGAGGGATACAAATGTGATTCTAAACACTGCCCTATCTCCCGGAATAGTTCTAATTCCATCAAACTTTATCATTCTGCTAACCCCAATACCTGGCTATAATAACATTCTAACCACGGCAACTAATACAATGGAATTTGGTGTGAATTCTGAGGTAAATTACACAGGTGTCAAGCAGGTTAATCCTCCAAAGAAAAAGCATCAGGACACTACACCAGTTCACCACCTTGATGTTATTGATGGACATAAAAAGGTTCCAGGAGGCTCTACGGTCATTAAGCCTCAGGAAGGTTCTACAAGTGCTGAAACTCAAGTTGTTCCTATCATGAAACATGATGCGGTTAGTACCCATGAGTCTTCAGGAGTTAACGCTATCGCTGGAGCTGGGATTGGTGCTGTAATTGTATTTATTCTAATGAAAATTGTCTTTGTTATATATGAAATTATGTATGTTATAAAATGGCTCTCTATAGGGGATACAACAAAGGAGTAAATAAAGTTGATCCATCAAGTGGTAGTGTGTTTGATAAGGACGGATTTACCATGAAGGGCGACATTGAGATGGACGGTAATGAGGTAAAAGGTCTGGGTGCACCTACAGATGATACTTCTGCGACCACAAGAAAGTGGGTGGATGATGAGATCGTTAAACAGGCTGCCCTTACAATCCAACCTGCAGGGTTTACTATGACTGGGGACATTAACATGGGAGGTAATAAAATAACTAATCTTGATAATCCTACTAACCCAGGTGATGCTGCCAGTAAGAGCTGGGTTGAGGGCAGCCGTGCTAGTTTACCCGGGCTTGTTCTTACGGATGATCTCAATATGTCAACAAATGAAATAAAGGCTCTAGGTGATCCCACAACTGGAAAGTCTGCAGTTAATAAAGATTGGACCCTATTACAAATAAGAAACCTGGACTTATATACAGCCAGTCACTATGTTCAAATTGATGGTACGCAGGCAATGACTGGTAATCTTAAATTAGGTGGAAATCAGATTGAAAATGTTGGTGATCCAACAACTGGAAAGTCTGCGGCTAATAGGGACTGGGTAGTTGGAATGTTAAATAAACCTGTAACTGGACTTAATATTGCTAGTGATATCGATATGAAGGACCATGAGATTAAGAATCTTAAGGATCCCTCTGAGGACCAGTCTGCTGTCACAAAAAAGTGGGCTGTTGATAATAACTTTAGACTAAAAGGTGGAATTATGCAAGCAGATGTGTCCATGGGAGGTTGGAGATTGTTTGATCTTATTGATCCTAAAATTGATAGTGAGGCTACATCAAAAAAGTGGGTTGAAGGTAAAATATCTACACTTCTTGGTCCCTCCGGTTTTAAAATGTCAGGAGCAATTAATATGGACGGAAATAGGATAAAAAATGTTTCGGTTCCTAGGGGTGGAGGGGATCCTGTTAACCTTGATACTCTAACATCAAATTTAAATTCTTTTAGAACTGGAAGTGACGGATATTACCTCAAAAGGAATGGCGGCTCCATGACTGGAAATATGAATACAAATAACTTTCAAATCTATTCTAACGCTGTCCCTGACAGAGACTCCTCCCTTGTGGCTAAAAAGTGGGTGGAAGATAAGATTAGCGGTGGTAGAAGTAAGCGTGAGACTTACAGTGGACTTACACTTTCTGACGACCTTGATATTGGAAACAATGAGATTGTAAAGTTAGGTGCTCCTACAACTGATAATTCTGCCGTATCCAAGAAATGGGTCACGGATCATGTCAGTGGGAGTTCTGTAAGTAGTAGTGGCTTCACTATGAGCGGTAATATTGACATGGCTGGTAATACTATTACAGGACTAAATAGTGGGTCAACGGGAAGTTCTAGTGCTGTTTCTTACGGTTCCATGACTTCATGGTGCTCACAGTTTCTTAAGCGTGATGGTGGCACTTTAGCTAGTAACTTAGATGTTAACGATTATGAGTTGACTAGAGTTGGAAGTCCAACGACTGACGGTTCAGCTGTTAATAAGAGGTGGGCAACAGATGAGTTCATGAGTAGTAGAGGTGGGTTGGTAAAGGGTGATTTGGATATGGGAGACTCAAGTGGAATTCTTGATCTAAAGGATCCTGTAAATGATAAGGATGCTGTTAACAAACAATGGGTAGAAAAGAATTTCCTAAAACCTTCAACTGGTCTTACTCAAGCAACGGCTGACTTAAGATATGTAAGAATACGGCGACATATACATGCAGAATGGATTTGGGGTTATCGTGGTGTTTCAGTTGCAGCAACAAGGTACTACGCTTACTGTCACGATCAGATTCCACCTTCATGGAGAACAGATCCTATTAACAATATGGCAGACCTGAACCTTGAATCAATTACTATCAAATCAGATTTCCCACGTTTTTCAACTATTCAAAATATACCTATAGGACTCGTTCTATGGGCTACCATTTGGGAAAAGCAATCTAATGGAAAATTTGCTAAGGTTAAGAAGGAGATTGTTCTTGCCACGGTTGACTTGTGAAGACTGTCACACACCTGGTTTAATGGAACTTACACAACTACCGGTGGAAGTACAGCTTGCTACGTTTTCAAGGGTAATAGTATGTTCTATTTAGGAGCCCAGACTGAGTTGGTAGATAACACGCTAGCCTGGTGTATTATAGTTAAACCTGAACACTCAATGCCCACTGGGTCTAGCATGGATATGTCCTTTTGTTGGTCACTTCGATATTCGGGGTCAGGTAGTTAACATGTGGTTTATCATAAGATAAGATGTCAAGGTGGAGGTCATGCTTCTCCTGCTTAGGTAAGATTTGTGGTTGTCGTAAGAGTTCTAGTAGAACTGGGAAGTCTGGTGATATAAATTTCTCTGTATCAAATAATATTAACATTGGAGTGAGCACACAAAATAAAAAGGATGACTTAGACTTTAGACCAAATTCTGAAAGTTACGGTCACCTAAGAATGCTTGAGGAAAAGTCAGATGTTAAATAGAGAATTTAATAGGAATAAAATAAATGATCTAAAAAAGTGGTCTAGAAAAATGATGGTAAAAAAGATCAGAAAAATGGTCTAGAAAAATGAGGTAAAAAAAACCAAAGAAAAAATGGTCTAGAAAAATATGAGCCCGCGTTTTTGGGGAAAATATGGAAACCGCTGACCGGAAGTTGGGTGAGATCGCGGGCCGAAAAAGTGGTCTAGAACCCTCATTCCCTATACTACTGACATTGTCTATTTGCGTGAGAATCTTCAATGTTTGTCAATAGCTCCAAGCTGGTTGGCTGAGCTAATTGAAACCATCAAATGATCATCACAAACATTAAACTTTCTCGGCAAAAACATTGAACTTTGTCATTAGAATAGACAATGTTTAAATTTATCTGCGACTGTTCATCCTTAAGCCTGGTTCCATTTAGTCGTAACTGTCATGGACATTTCAAGGTGACCGATGTAATAGAGTGTCGTTATATCTCTGCAATAAGTAAAGACTGATTTGCATACAGCACACAGAAGACAATTAGATCCAGACTATTTCACATTGTCGACTTGGTCACGACAGTTACGACCAAATGGAAACAAGGCTTCAGTTGCAAGCAATGGTAATTTGTGGGTAACTTTTCAGTTTGCTTCATATGGATCCTACCACACAAACCCTTTCCTATTCATGACTGAAATTGTTTGCACTACACACTATATGTAATAAATTCTAAACAATAAATTTTTAATATGGAATATCCATTATTAACATTGTTCATCATCAGATAAAATGAAGATAATAACTATATTTGCAGAATTACTAATTCTGTAAAAGATAGTTCTTAAAAGTAATATATTCAAGCATTGCACTGGAAGTTTATATCTTATGGCTATTTCCTGTTAATGTAAAGTTTGCAATACTGTAATGGATCCTTCGTTGACTGGTAACCAACCAAGTGTGACCACATTGTGACCCTGTCATTTACCAAACCAGTAACTGAGTTTTTAACTTTTTGCAGATATTTTAGATTGGGGTGAATTGCAACCTATAATGTAACGTCTGCTTTAGACTCTAGTTCTATCACTTTATTATCAACTAACAACTACAACTACATAGTTGCTCATATATATACATAGCAACCGGAAACGGATATACGTTTTGTATACATATCATTACATCCCTCCTTCTCTAAACTAGAAAGTTCTCTCTACTATAGTAAAGTTGTTTTTTTTAAATTATTGTTTTTTTTAAAAGTTTCTCAAGGACAATAATGAATATTCTAAATAACCATTCATACGAAAATAAATATCAACAAAGACTGTACAATAAAGTTATTAGTCAGTTCATAATTATCTAACTAATAGTCACTATAACTTAATTTATCTAACTATAGTCACTAGCTCATGTCCCATAATCTTGATATCGACAGGATTTTCTAACAACTCTTCCACTCCGTGTTCTCTGTTGACCATCTAACATAACAGGTGTGGTCTTCATAGATGTCTGTTGTTCTGCCGAATCTCCCTCGACCTCTGGCTGTGGTTGATCAGAAGGTGGTTGACTAACAACGTGATCTTGACTTGATTGTTCGACACTGTCCCTTGTAGCACTTGTTTCAATGACAGGTGGCTGGAAATCAAAAGCTGTAGTACTTTCGTCTGGTTGCTCTCTTGAATGTCGAAGATGCTGTCGATTTCGTCTGTACACTCGACCATCTTCTGTTCGTACCTGATAGGATCGAATGTCCACTTTTCCTTCGACTTTCGCTTGCAACCATGGCTTGCGTTTCTCTGCTAACTTCAACGGCTTGATACGAACCAGATCACCTTCTTTCAACTCCGATAATTCCTTCGCACCCTTATTGTAATAAAAAGCTTGCTTGCTTTTCTACTCCAATAATTTACGGTCGACACCCTTTGGGATTGTAGGCTTTAGCAAATTCTTTGCTGTTGGAATTAATGTTCTAGTTCGCCGGCACAGCAATCGTTGTGCGGGTGAATATCCAACACCCTCGCTTGGAGTGTTACGCCAATCTAACAACGATAAATATGGATCTCTGCCACTCTCCTTCGCTTTCTTCACCAACCGTTTAGCCGTGCGCACTGCATTCTCTGACTTTCCATTGGACTTCGGATATCCAGGAGAATTGGTGATATGCTCGAACTCAAACTCCCTTGCAAACTCACGAAAGGCTTCTGAGTTATATGGCGGTCCGTTATCTGTGATAAGTTGATCAGGAACTCCATATCTTGCAAAATGTGACTTCAGCTTCCCAATGACCTCGTTGCTGGTCTTGCTTCTTAGTTGATCCAACTCAAAGAAATTGGAAAAATAGTCAACTGTCACTAAAAAGTCACCCCCTTCGTACTCAAAAAGATCACTGCCAACCTTTTCCCATGGTCGTTCGGGAATCGCGTGACTGATCAGTGGTTCTTTCTGCTGACCTTGTGGATAGGCGTTGCACGTTGGACATCTCAAAATATACTCGGTCAGTTCTTTCGTCATTCCAGGCCAATACACACTGTCTCTTGCACGTCTTAGACACCCCTGAACGCCAATATGACTTGCATGAATTCTTGCTTTCATGTGTGATCGCACTCCATAAGGAATGACTAACCGCTCTCCCTTGAAAATCAATCCATTCTGAATTGACAATTCGTCAATGAAATTGAAGTACTCTGCCAAACTTGGTGGTACATGATCCTTCGTCTCCGGCCATCCTTGTCTGATAACCGTTTTCAGCTTTTCCAGGTCGTTATCTACCTCTGTAGCTTGTTTGATCATCGTCAACAACTCTTCGGATATTGCAAGGTTACAGACCATATCTATGCTTTCTAGATCTTCCCCAATGCTACTTCCGGTCGACAATACTTCTTCATCAAACTTCTGCGGGCTGTAGCTTCCTTCCAAATATGCGCGACTCAAGGTATCTGCGAGATACATCTGGGATCCTCTCTTGTATGTCACCTCTAGATGATATTTCTGCAGCCGAAGCATCATACGTTGCAATCTTTTTGGCGCGCTGAGGAGATTCTTCTTCATAATGCTCTCAATGGGCTTGTGATCGGTTTCAACTTTCACTCGTCGTCCATAAACATACTGTTCGAACTTTTCGGTGCCAAATACGACCGCCAGCATCTCCTTCTCAATTTGAGCATACTGTTGTTCGGTATTCGTAAGAGACCGCGACGCGTAGGCAATCGGTTGACCATCTTGCATTAGGCAGGCCCCTAACCCCTTTTCAGAAGCATCGCACTGCAACTCCAAATCTTGATCTGGATCAAAGTATTTCAACAAGGGAGGTGATGACAAAATCTTCTTCACTTCGCTGAAACACTTCCCTTCGACATCTTCTCTCCAGTGGAACACATTCTGTTCTTTAAGTAACTCTCTTAACGGTGCTGTGACTGCAGACAAATTTGGTGAAAATCTTTGCAAATAATTAACCATTCCAAGGAATCGTCGCACCGCTTGCTTGTTCGACGGTATCGGCATCTTCTGGATCGCCTCCACCTTTGCTGGATCAGGCCTCAGTCCCTTCGACGTGATTAAATGACCCATAAAACTCACTTGGTTGCGACTAAACAGCAGCTTCTTTGAATTCAGCTTTATTCCTTTACTTCTGCAGCGCTCAAGCAGACTCACCAGCTTGTTATCATGATCTTGCACTGCTTCTTCATAAGATTCACCAATTCCTTCCAATCCTTCCAGCGCTAAATCTAGATATCGTTGAAACTCTTCTGGAGCTGGAGATATTCCAAACGGCATCCGCTTCCATCTGTAACGACCCCAAGGCGTTGCGAACGTCGTTAGATAGCTACTTTCTTGATCTAAATTGTACATGCCAAAATCCATTCTTTGCATCCACCACGGAAAATACTTTGGACTTTGCCAAGTTGGGTAGAAGATCTTCTATATCTGGATGTGGATGTGGATAATGATTTCGTTTCAATGCCTTGTTCAATGGCTTTGGATCTATGCATAGTCTAACGCTTCCATCTTTCTTTTGAACAGCGACCATGGACGAGATCCAATCCGTTGGTACTTCCACTTTCGTCAAGACATCCAATTTTACTAGTCGATCTAGCTCTTCTTTAATCGGTTTCTTGAGGGCGATTGGTACCTTCCGAACAGGTATTTTAGTGGGTGGAATTTCTTTATTAACTTCGAGATGCAGCTTCTCTTCAAATCGGCCTTCACCTGTGAACACGTCTTTGTACACGCTGATGACTTCAGACTCTGTACGGACTTTCGGTTGACTTCGGGCTGTCTTCGTAACTTCGGATTTCCCTCGTGCTGACTTCGGAACGACTTCGGACTGATTCCGGAATGACTTCGGACTGACATTACGTTCTCGGTGTTCACTGTCATTAGCTCAAACTTCTGGATTGTTTCAAAACCCAGCAACGGTTTATAATCCTGATTCACCACCAAGAATTCAACTGCATGCTTCATCTCATTCCTAGGGTTGATAGTCATCGTCTTTAACTTTCCCAATACGTTCATCTTTGATTTATTAAACATCACCAACGTCGTTTGTGTCTTTTTCAGGTGCATAAGCTTCGGATCGTTGAAATACCATAAGTGCAAAGATTCTCTTGGGAAACTTGTTTTCTGTGACAGACATAACTGACTTTTCTTTAACTGTTAGAACGTAATCTACGTACTCAGTTTCTTCATCCTCACTCTCAAACAGCTCGCCGACCCCATGAATGTTTCCTTTCTCTGAGCCTTGTTTACTTCGACATTGCGACGCAAAATGATTTGCCTTGTTGCACTTTAAGCACTCCTTTCCCCACGCTGGACACTCGTCTTTGATCCGCTGATGGGTTTTGCCACAATATTTGCATTTTAATATGCTTGGCTGCTTTTGTTCGGGTTGTTTACGTTCTTGAGTTAATCCCTTCGTTCTGCCTCGTTGATCTCCTTTGTCTTTCTTTCCATCTCTCTTCATGCGAACTGCGTGTATATCTTCGGTTTGTGACATACTTCTCATCTGTTGATTTGTAGTTTCACTCGCCCGGCAGATATCAATGCAGTTTCTCAACGTTAAATCTCTTTGAAGTAACTTCTTTCGAAGGCTATTCTCTCGAACTCCAACGACAATTCTATCGCGTATAAAATCGTCAGTCAGTTGTCCGTAATTACACGATTTAGCCAGAGCTCTTAACGCAACGACATACGCTTCGAACGACTCGCTGGGTTCTTGTACTCGTCGGTTAAAATTGTATCGCTCGTAGATAACATTTGTAGCCCCAACATAAAAGGTTTCGAGTTTTTCCAGGACAATATCGATATCTATTTTCTCGTCTTCGTTCGCCCACTCTAGACGTTCGTATGTACGTTTCAAGCGCTTCGACTCCAATGCAAGTGAGCAACGTTGCTGTTCTTAGTTCCTTCGACTCTTGTCGTAACCGTGTGGCTATCTCATAGTTATTCCACATTCTTCTGAACTTCTTCCAGTTCGAAGCCAAATTTCCTCTTACAATTAATTTAGCCGGCAATGGAATCATATGAATGCCTCGGGCAATTGCTGCTTGCCCTGGTTCTTCGGACGGACTTGTATGTTCTTCAGCCATACTATTCACTCATGAGTTTCGAACAACGTGAGTTTCGCTTATAACTCCGACATAACTCCTGACACCATGTAACGTCTGCTTTCGACTCTAGTTCTATCACTTTATTATCAACTAACAACTACAACTACATAGTTGCTCATATATATACATAGCAACCGGAAACGGATATACATTTTGTATACATATCATTACACCTATAATGGTTAAATAGAAATTCAGGTTAAAACAACATGAAGACTATACCCTATATACTAACAAATAAAGGATATTACTTAGAGAATCTGAAAAAATTGTATGGTTGAATTTTTTTTTAATTTAGGATAAAATATAACCAAGAACTTAAAAGCAGTTGTACTTGTACATGTACATTGTTCATAATATTAACTATTAAGTGTACACAAAAATGTGAATACCCACCTTACGCTTTTGATACTTCTGGTTATTTTTCTGTTTGTTGATCAGGGCCTTTGGCATAGTTCATTTTATTCTGCTGTAATTTTCTGCTGTACTTTAATATAAATCTGAAAAATATATTGATTCACACCAACATTACCAACATCGTTTGAGAATTAAGATTGACCTGTTTTGCTGTTGATTTAACTAATTGTTGTTGTTTTATAATACAAAATTCAACAAAACTAGTAGTTAAATGTGCACGAAATGTTTCCCTTTATAAAGTGCCGAATTCTTTATTTTATTTCAATAAATATTTCAAAACTATTTTCACTCCTATCAGTCGCCATTTTTACATACGAGAGTTGCCGATCTATTTTACCCCTGATTTTACAGAATAAATACGAAGGCATTTCGTGTGCGTGTTTTGCGTGGTTACAAAGTTTAGCGCATGCTCCGTACAAAATGCCCAGCTGTTACCCGCGCGTTGAAAAGTGACTTGAAATCGACAATAATAAGATCAAGCATCCTGAAGATTTCCAATGACAAATACATAATAACATTAAGCAACAAAATCAAATTTCGCATTTCTGCCAAAATTGTACAGTAATGTCTGGTCAACCTTTGGAAAAATAGCAGATAAATTTGCCAAAAGGGAAAGCTGCCTCATCTACAGCAAATGACAAACTGGCCAGGAAAAACTGGTTCATACCCATACGAACAGAGCTTTGGATGTATAGACCCCTTTCATGATGACGTCACCTAACTACAACTACCATATTTAAAGCATGTATGGAGTAACAGCCTGGAAAAACAGATACAATATGATGTTTTAGGTAAAAAAATGGAAATTTCAAGTTTCAGCTTCACACCATGCATCTTGGAGTAAACGGCAAGTATATGACTGGTCCAGTGATGCCTAAATTACTTTGAATTTTAACTCAAGTAAAAGTAGAAGTAATTGCCAATAAAACGACTTGAGTAAGAGTAAAAAGTACTGGAGGCAAAACGTACTTAAGTAAAAAGTACAAAGTATCCTTAAAACAAAACTTGAAGTACAAAGTAAAAGTACTATTGTCTATATCGTGTAGGGGAGGGGGGACTTCTCCAATGGATTGACATACAAAAGACACAAAACAGCACACGCATTATATGCGTGCACAATAATATACAATATTTCCCGGCATGGTTTACTTTCCAAACCCCGTTGAAGATGGAATCAATCACGTAAAATTAAAAGTACTCCAGAAAAAGTTTACTTTGTTATATACTGACTTCTAAAAAATAGTACTCATGTACAGTAACGAAGTACATTTACTTCGTTACTTGACACCACTGGACTGGTCATATGACTTTTGAAAGCAAGCAATTGCACTGAAAGTCTGAAACGACAAGGAACACGTAAAGAAATGTTAAATGTTGAGCATGCCAAGTTTCTTCAGGAATGAATAATATTTAGCGATTAGCAAACTACATTTAGTTTTTGATCTCCAATTTGTAGAGAGTAAATTCGGTTTCCTCCAAATGAAATCTACAACGTAATAATGGCTCAATGCAATGCAATGCAATGCAATGCAATGCAATGCTAAAGGAATACCGAGTGGTTTTCCGTGCAGGATTGCGTGATCCATGCACGAGGGATGTCGCGAGACTTTCGGAAAGCGTAAAAATACTCGAGCCGCACGCGAGTGTATTCGCTTTCCGAAAGTCGAGCAACATCCTAAGTGCATGGATCACGCTATCCTGCTTGGAAAACCATTTGGTAATTGTTTTATAAAATAACTACAGTGAAACAATGACATTTTGAGAATCCCGCGAAG